TTTAAACCCGGGAAGAGTTTCAGCATCACCTCTGAGCCATGAGTCAGCAGCACCTGTGTGGTCTGCACCACTGTGTGAGCTTTCCTGTCTCTGGTGTCCCCGACAATGAGTGAAGTAGGAGCAGCCCAGTAGACTATAGTATTTCCCATGGTCCTCTGCTTCACTCAGCTCTCTGAAGTTTGACATCGGTATGGGACTTTGGGTGACTGCTCAGCAGAATCACCCCAGGGCCTGGTGCTGGGCTACACTGCCCCGTCTCCTTTTACAGACAAGACATAAAGAAGGAAGACTGACAATTTGTAGACTTAACCACATCTGTGCCAGGTAGTTTCCCTCTGGTGACTCTCCACCCTGGTGTGTGGTAGGCTCAAGGGCTGGACACTGAGCCATGGGGAAGAGTTACAGTGAGCTGCTGTAGCATTTGGGGCACAGTGAGCACAGGGATCGACACAGAACTCGGCTTCTTTGGCCCCCTCACTGATCAGAAGCCGGCAGCCCACAGGAGATAATACTGGGAAAAGCCACAGCAGCTCGGAACAGAGCACTAACTGATCCAAATCAATGCTTTCTGGCTGCAAAGCTGACCAAGTGCTCACCTGCCCAGGCCCACTCCCTGCTGATGCAGCAGTTTTGATCTGTCTCTAGAAACCTCTCTGGTTTGGAGGACCTTGCCTTATGTGGTGAGGCTCTGTCTACTTATTCATTACCCAGCAATTCCCACCTCCATGCCACTTCGTTTGGTGTAGGAGGTGCCTTGCGGCTATCATGTGTGCCTCATGAGCCAGAAACTGTAGCTTGCACAGGAAAGACTGGGAATCAGTCGACAGCCTCCATCAGTATTTTAGACTGACTCTGCTTCCAGAGAAACAGTTCACAGGGTCATATATTGCAGGAGACCGCTGGGGTGCTCAGCTGACAAGAGCCCTGCTGGGATGCTGCTGTTTCTCCAGTTAACTGCCCTGTTTATGTGAGCCTGTATTCATCTTTCATCTGACAGAGCAGGGGGAGTGGGAGCTTCCATGTCGGAGAGCACAGAATGGATTTGGGTGCTTGAAAGGACTTTCATACAGGGAAAGCCAAAGTTAACAATCCTTGCAAGTAGGCAGTTGGCGGGACTATAGAGATTGCCTCTTATGCAGCACAGAATGGTGACCACTAACCATGTGTAAGTGTGCTAATTGAAAATAATTTAAAACAAGTAAAAGTATAAATTCAGTTTCACCCTCATACTAGCTAGTGGCATGCCACGAGGACCAGCAGCTGTCATATGGGGTGGCACAAATAGAGAACACTATTTCATTGCAGAGTCCTATTGAGTAGCACTGGCTAACTGGCTAGTTGCACTCCATATTTTAGAGAAGAGGAAGCAGAGGCTTATAAAGGTCAATATCAAATATGCTACAACTTCATCTCACAAACCGTAGCTTGGCCGCAACTAGAAAGCACCCCATTTGTCTGACCGCATCTGTTCATGGCCCCAGATCATCTCCTCTCTCAGATAACAGTGGGAGCTGGTTTTCTATTAACATCCAGCACAAACACAAACAGAAGAAAGCAAGCTGGTGACAACATTAGCGAGGAAGAGCCAAAGTATGAGTGGCCATAAAGTTAAACTGAAATAGTTGTCTCCATGAGGCCCCTTCCCCACCTCCAGGATTAATATTAAGAGAAGAGACTCTTGTCCCTAATAGCATTCTGTGTAAGCTTGCAGCCCACAGAGCTGCCTTGGCACTGTGGGACTGCACCATCTATTTACCCAGAAAATGTAATTTCTCATGTTTCTTTGGTTTTGAGTTTAAGTGGCCTGTAAGATTTTTATCGCTTAAGTAACTTTCAGAGAGCTTACCTTGTACTGTTCACACAGGGCACAATTTAGAAACATTTGGGTTACAGCAACCAATAAGCAATAAAGGCCACTATAGGCTTATTTGTGAAAAAATACTTTCAATTACCCTGCAGTTCAAAGCTTGCACAACAACGTAAGGTGTTGGGATACAAGAAGATAGCTGGAAAATTCCTATGAAATTCTTATCTTCATACAAGAATCTCTCTAGTCATTTTCTCAATTCTCCTATGCACTGGAAGGATCTTGAATTTAGGCCAAAGAAAAAGCTGCCGTTTTCAGGGGTGATGTGGACTTCAGGAAACTCCTAGTGTTCCTGAGGGTCAAGTACCTGTGTTTATTCACCTGTGACCCCATTGTTCAGCACCATGCCTAGAACAAAGCAGAGCCTAGCAACGTTGGAGGAGAGAGAGAAGGAGGGAGAGAGGGAACAATGATGTCTTTAAATTTCCGGATAGTTTGTTACCTGGAAAAGGAACACACACACACCACAGAGAACTTTAATTATCTGCAGCTGGGCTCCTCCCTCTGCTAAAGGTAGTCAGGGGGACCTCTCCTGTTTTCCTTTGTCACCAGCCCTCACATTTAATAGAAGCTGCCTCTTTCCCTAGCTACTCCTTCCTTGATGCTTGTGTGCTTCAACTGAAATTGAGTATGCACTTGGCTCCAGGAACAGACCATAGGCCTGGGCCTGATGGAAGAGAAGGGTTGAAGGGCACAGCTAATGAGGACAACTAATGGGAATGATCTACAGAAACCCCAAGGAGAAGGACCCTGCACTGGTATTCCTAAGCGAAGCCAAGTGTCTGCAGAACTGCACTGGTCATCCATGAACCTCGCTGGCTAAGGAAGGAAAAAGATGAAGGCGGATGACTGAAGCTTTAGTTTGAACTTCTGGATACAGTCTTGAATCTCTTGGTTGCCGGAACCAGTAAACTAATTATCTTTCCCCTTTAAAAGCCTACTTTACTTTTGTTTCTGTTACTTGGAACAGAAAGAGTAAGGATTACAAAAGCAATTACTTTTGCGAGATCACCACAGTGACCTTTATAGCCATTAACAGAGAGCTGTGGCTTCCCTGGACTGCTATACTTTGGAAATCTACAGCTCTTTGTAGATTACCAGGCTCCTTTGGCCTTCATAACATGGATTTGCTTCCTTGTATGTGTCCGCTGATTTCCACACACTATGTCCTCTGCTTGCACCCCAATCTAGATCACAAATCACCCATTATGCTGCTGCATGCCAACCTTGTACACTTATACTTTCTTGGCCCTTAATTTTCCAAACCCATCTCGCAAGGCAGCTTAGTCCAAAGAGAAGGATACAGTAAACAAAGATTTATGTGGCACTTTGTGCTTTATATTTAATAACTGATCCATCATGGAATTTATCTGCATGAAAAGTTGTATAATTTATAAGTGTCTTGGTTGCCATGGCTCTAGTAAATTATGCTTCCTGCTCTCCCACATTTACATGGGCAGCTTGCTACTTACCGGGTCTTGTGTGCTCAGAAATCATCAAATGTATTTTAAGGTTTCTTCTTTGGAAAAATGAAAGCTAATGTTGTAGGGAAACAGTGGTTCATAGCTATGCACTGTTGGATGATCTGGTATGGAAGAGCCGGAGCTCTGTGGTTAGCAGGCTTACATGTAGGCTCAATAGCTTGATGTTCAGCTTTCAGTACAATGTGTGCGGGGGTGCTGTGATATACATATTAATTTTATTCCCATTGCAGAGGCTCGAAGACGCACAGTGTATTAAGCGGGAAAGCTAGAATTTACCCAACTGTAGAACTCAATCTCTTTCCATGATCTTTAGTTTTCTTCAGGCATTTTATTATCATGCCCTTTGGAGGATAAAGCAGAAAGACTTATATTTTGATTAAACAGGTATTTTGCAGTTTATAATGCCACATATCTCCTTCATAACAAAAATGAGAGCTATATAGATAATAAAGCAAAGACTAATTAGTCTGTGACTCATTATTACTATTCTATCATTGATTCATATAAAGGGCATATATTATCTACCATTGTTACCATTGGGATTCACAATGTTTTACAATTTTGTATTTTCTGTCAAAATCCAATTTGCCAATGGACTAGTTTCAGAAAGTTCCAAGAACAAGTCCAATTCGAATTGTAACTAAAGACTATAATAGGTTGTCTGGGATAAGAAAATGCAATCATCTATCCTAGAATCGTTGGTATAACTTCCTTAGGCATGTGGGAAAAGTATGTGTCTGGAGTCAAGAAGTCTTAGGAGTCAAAGTCTGACTCTCAAAGATTAAATGTTTTGCAGGACTAGCGTGTAGTTATGTTCCTAACAACCCACCACTCTTTTTCTACAAAGTGTCATATACTCAAATTTCCTTGACTTGTATCAAAAACACTTGCTGCTATGGTTTGGATTTTAAATGTCCTCCAAAGGCTGGTGTGGTGAAGATTTGGTCTTCCTTGACGACACTATTGGGAGGTGGTCAAAAGGAGCAGGTGGGCCTATTGGAAGAAGTGCAGTAGTGGGCTCTTCTGGCACCTATGGTTGTTCTCTCTCTCACTGACTCATCTGCTACAAAGTGAGCATCTTTGCTCTGCCATGTGTCTCTACCATGATCTCTGCTTTCCCAAGTCCCAGATTCAGTAGAGCCAAGTAAGCAAGGACTGGGCTCTCTAAAACCACGAGGCAAAGCAAACTTTTCCTCCCTGTAAGTTGTTTATATTAGACATTCTGTGGCAGTGACACAAAAGTCTAACATGTTTGACCTGTTTGTCTCTCCAGTTAGACCTTGTGAAGGTTTTTTCTAATATAATGTCTCAGAACCTAGATAGTTCCCAACAGTAGGCACTAGAGTTGTTGGAACAAAGATAACTCATGCTAAATCTGTCTTTTAAAATGAGGTTCCTTTCTCAAGGAGTACCAGTTGGCAACCCTATTTCTCCTCCTCCTATTCCTCTTCCTCTCCTTCCTTCTCCTCCTCTTCTTTCCCCTCCTCCTTCTTCTTCTCCTTCTTCTTCTTCTCTTCCTCCTCCTTCTCCTTCTTCTTCTTCTCCTTCTCCTTCTTCTTCTCCCCCTTCTCCTCCTCCTCCTCCTCCTCCTCCTCCTCCTCCTCCTCCTCCTCCTCCTCCTCCTTCTTCTTCTTCTTCTTTTTCTTCTTCTTTGTTTGGCTTTTTGAGACAGAGTCCCACTACACAGTTCAGGTTGGGCTTCAGCTCAGTTTGTAGCCCAGACTGGTCTCAAACTCACAATGATCCTCCTGTGTCAGACTCCCAGAGTGATAGAATTACAAGTGTGCACCACCAAGCCCTTTCTTAATTAGAAAAAAGTAGGACGTAGTTTGAGCTCACATTTCCCCAGGAGGAACTGTTCTCCAGAGATTAATGTTGGACAAAGAATGTAGGCACCTGGAGTCCCTTCTACTCCTTGGATGTTTCTACTTCCAGGGTGATGACTGACAGATGACTGCATTCCAAGAAACAGACACTTTCGAGCAGTAGTTTTGGGAAGAAAGAGATCATCCTATGGATGAGAATCACAGGTGGAAGTCCAGCACTTTTCTTCTGTCCAGTATCCAAGGGTGGCATGCCTTCAGCCCAAGGTCTTCGGCAGTTTCTTGAGGAAAGATATTCCTGGGCAAAGGAAGATAGCCATTACAACAATGCTAAGCACACAGTGACCACATGTCAAATAGTTCAGGAATAGCTGGCTTGCATCATTACCCGCTCATGCAAGAGGAACAGGAGAGCAGCAGGCCATAGCTCCATACTGTAGAAGCAGCCTGACCAAAATCTAGATGTTCATCTAGATGTTCTGTAGTCCTGTGTTCCCCACTTGACAAAGGAATCGGATTGTCTGTCTGGCCAGGAGACAGACCATGCTACTGTCAGACTGTCTGCTTCATCTGCCTCTGCAGTACATCTTACAGGGTAAGTGCCTGTCAGAATGTTTAGATGAGAAAGACGGACCTCTAGGTACAGTTGTCCTCACTTGCTACAGGCTTTCAGACTTTCTTCAGAGGAGTTAGTTTCATAGGTAAATACAATCTGTGAGTAGTTCATAGTCCTTCCTACTTATAATTTCTGGAAGTCACTGGTATATGCTAAAGTAAATAATATTTGGATGGGAAAACTGGCTTAGATTATTTCTATAATATGCTAATTGCTACCATTTTTTGGCTACCATTTTTTAAATTCCAATACCAAATCTTCAACTACTGGTTCTGATTATGAACAAGTCACTTAGTTCTATCTGTATCCACTTATAAACTAATTCATTTCTCCTTTTCTTCTTTCACCAAGTATTAATTGAAATTCTGTCAGTACTGCATTCAGTGTTACAAAAGGACTACTCATATCTACTTGAAAGAGTAATTCCATATATAAAGTGAGATAATTGAGAAAAGCTTCTAGCACATAAGCTAGTTAAGAAACTTGTACTGTATGCGAATGTGGAAGTGAAATATCTTGAAGATGAAGGAGATAAAACTCTTTTTAGGATTCAACTCAGCGAGTTCTGAAACTTTGTTATAGAAACCTGACCATACATTGTTTTCTTATTACCAAAGTCTTTAAAGATGCATTTTTCCCTCAGTTATAAAATGGGGACATCAGTTTGAAAATCTCCTGAAATTTAAAACCAGCGTGCACACATAGGTGTTACTATTTCTCTAATTTTGCTTTAGAACTGAAAACTTTATATGAACCATATTTAGATAGAAATTTCTTATAAGGAAAGCTGCTATCTGGGGAGCCACTGTGTGACCGTGGGCAACAGAAAGGCTTTCCGGCAGCTCCCTGGCACGTTCCTGTGTGACCGTGCCTCCTGGCACTCGGTGCCCACCTTGCTCAGCAGAGGATCCTCTCATTCTCTCCAGGGTCTTCAGCGGCTCCCTCAGCTTATTCCATGTAGATGACGAAAGAGTCACGCTTAGCTGCCTGGAGAGATCAATCTGTTCTCTCTTCTCTAGAAATTTAGAGAAGAACCAGAATGAAAAATTTAAAAATACCAAGAAGTGGGCGGATATCCTAGGGCCATGGTGAAAGGCAAAACTATTCTTATTGGGTGTTTTGCTTGGTGAATCCATCAAGGCTAATTAAATCTTCTACTGAGAACTGGTATGGTGTGTTTTATAAGGCTGGATAAGTGTCCAGCAAGGAAGCACAAAGTCTTCTCCCAGAGGAAGCCACTGACTAATGTGAAGTAGGAGAATTCATTGCAAGCACCCCGAGCACTTGCAGCTGGAAGACAAACGAAGAGCCATTTATTAACCAGCACCTTGGAGGCCCTGGTGAGGATGGGAAATTTAGGAAAATTTAGGCTTTTTTCCTTCTCTACTTCCCTAAGAGTCAGACCTGAAGCATTGTTGAAAATAGAAAGAAAAGCCAGAGAATTCTGTATTGTAATCATTTTTGAAATAATTCTCCACAGTGGAAAAGAAGAGACAATATTCTTTTGGGCCAAACCTTTATATTCTTCTCTGACCTCATAGTCAGTCTGCAGAAATCCATCGTTCACTCTGCTTTTTGTCTCACCTGGCCTGGTTGGGCGCCCCAGTGAACAAAGACAGCTTTAGATCTTTGCCTTCTATTCTTCAATGAAAATTGGCTTCCTAAGAAGATAAAGGGGACTGCTTCCAAGACCTATGACTCTCCTACCATTTCTTTTTGTCTTTGAACAATGACTTGAAAGAAAGATACTTTATTAAATGCATAGTAAAGTGAAATTTCTTGATCAAATCCTCTTTTCTAAACCTACATATATAAAATCCAGCTAAAGATCTTTCGAAGACATTTTTTAAGGAGAATGAACTGTGAAAACATTTATTTTTATAATTCATTTCAGAAAAGTTGGGAAGAATTTGGCTCCATCAAGACATAGTTTAGTAGGGATGCAATAAAGTCACCTTCATTTATTTATAGAAATATAATCAAAGAGACTGACAGAGTAATTAAAAGAAAAGTCTGAAATTTGCTGATTTTAAAATTCATTGTATGTGCTTGAAATCAGCTTCTGTTTTTTAGGGGAGGCTTTAATTATAAAATAATTAGTGGCAAATTGAATACCAGCATTCTTAGTGTTGATAAAGCCAGACAGCGACAGTGGTTGGTTTTCACCTTATGTATTTATTCTCATTTTATTTTTAAAACTGATACATATTAATGGGGGTACCATGTGATGTTTCAATACATGTACACATTGTAGAAAGTTTAAGTATAGTAGCCAAGCATGGTGGCTCACGCCTGTAATCCTAGCACTCTGGAGGCTGAGGTGGGAGATCGTTGTGAGTACGAGACCAGCCTGGGCTACAAATTGAGCTCAAGGCCAGCCTGAACTGCATAGCGAGACCCTGTCTCAAAAAAGACAAAAAAAAAAAAAAAGTTTAAGTATGGTTAAGCATATCTACCTCCTTATTCCTGTTAGCTTTAAAAAAAAAAAAAGAATGACAATAAATCAAAATTAACGCTCATTACAAAATGTTAAATGCTCTTAGGAATGCGAAGTCTATTTTGGAGAGAGTTTTGAAAGCCTGAGATACTAGAATTTATCTTTGGGATTGAGAATTTACTAATCTGCATGCAACCAGCAAGACTGGCTCTAAATATGATGTCTTAAAGTGGAGCTGTGATCATCCCACAAGACACCAGTAAAAATGGTCAGCCAGGGAATGCTAGGCTCCCATTCCCCAGCCAAAATGTGCAGAGAGATCCGAATACAAATTCATTCACGTTTATCTGAGCCCTGGGTAATGGTCAGTGGTGGGCAGAAACGAAGCCAATAGTTAGACAATGAAAAGCCCATCTCACAATGCTGAAACATTTTCTGGCATTTTTACTTGTTTTGTTTTATTTCCTACCCAGACTGGTGGTGGGTTTGATATTCAGGCAGAGCACTGGTTTTTAGTTTCTAACCTCACACTGGAGAAGCAGAGCAGAGCTGAGTTTTAAATTATTATGTATCTCTACTCCAAATTTGGGGAGAAATATTCAAAAGTGTAAAGCAAGATGTTCATTGCTGTTTTATTCAACTCGTACTTTAAGCAGGAAAAGTGGGCATTGTTTGTAAAAGCTGTAAGGTAACCATAGACCCAAAGACACTGAGGGAAGAGATTTCAAGGTGCAAGAAGCAATGGACCATCTGAGACCCAGAGGAGAGCTAGAATGAGACTCCTTGGGAAATTAAAATATTTAGTATCACTCCTGCATGTAGGAGAAGTGAGAAGGTCACATACACTTCCAGGCCAGATGAAGATTTTACAGTACTGGAGAAGACCTCTACTTTTCACCTCAGGGTGATTCCTAGGCATATAACAAGCCACATGACACTGAAGAGGTCTGCAGGAATGGATCCAGTCTGCAGACTGGAAATGCTCCTGGCATTTAAGCAAATCTCTGTTGATATATTAGCTGAGTACAAAGAATTTTGGGGTTATACGTACTCAGGAATAATTATAACAAACATAGTTTGGGAAAAAACAGGAACACATGACCCATTCAAAGACACAAAATAAGTTGGCAAAAATGATTCATGAGGAAACCCAAATTCTACATATACTAGACAAAGACTTTAAAACAGCTATCTTAAATATGCTCAAAATGCAAATGGAAAACAAGAATAAAGAACTAAATAAATTCAAGAAAACAAGTATGAACAAGATGAGAATATCAATAAAGAAATAGAAATTGTGAAAAAGAAAAAATACGAATTCTGGTACTAAAAAAAAATGTAATAACCAATTAAAGGGTTTCAACTTAAGTGGTGGGCAGGTATAACAAATAGCCATTTACCTGGAGGCAAAAAATGAGATTATTACGTCTGAGAACAGAAATAAAAATGGTGAAGAAAAGTGAACGGAGTTTATGGAACTTCAGCATACTATTAAATGGACCAGTCCTGGTGCATTATAGGAGCTTCAAGTGAAGAGAGAACAAACTAGAAATAACATTTTATGAAATAAACCCCAAATGCCAAAGCTGGATGAGAGATGAAATCTATAAATTCAAGAAGCCCAACAAACGTCCAGTATGATAAACTCAAAGTGACCTGTAGCAAGACGTCATCTAATCAACCTGTCAACAGCAAAAAATAATACCCTGAAAAGGGCAAGAGACAGAAGGCAGCCACACATGGCTCTGTGACATTATCAGCCAATTCGCCATCAGAAATCTTTGTGTCCAGTAGGCAGTGGCATGATAAATTAAAGTGCTAAAGAAAAAAATTAAGTTTACATCTGTCAAGACAATTCTTTGAAAATGAGGGAGAAATGGAGGAAAAAATGGTGGCTATGGAGGCTGGATGGAAAGCCTCTGTGGGGAAAGCAGCTCAGATGCTAGAATTTGACAGCATGGAGAGGGCTAGATGATTGGAGGATGATTTTTATTAAGCCAGGAGGAAACTGAAGGGAGAAATAAAATTAGGAAGAAGAAGGAAAAGCACGGGTGGAGGGCTGTAGCCCAACACACTCACTGAGACTTGTTCCACACTGTGCTGGGTACGCCCTAGAGTCAGACAATCCAAAGTCATGCTGAAACCGCAGCTGTCGACAACGGGAGTCAATGAGTCCCCAGCCCTTGACGGGAAGACGCAACACAGTCTAGAGTAGAGCCAAGAGGGAGAGCTTTATTGGCTCTCAGTGAGTACTGGAAATTGGGTCCTGGGGCCCTATGCCAGAGGAGGCAACAGAGAGGACTGTGCACCTGAGTGCCAAAGCTAGGCACTGCATAGTTTTCTAAAGAGGCAAGATTCTGACCTAGATGTGGAAAAACCACATCAAGCTAGAATCTACCTCTGCAGAGGAAGGAAAAATGAGAGTGGAGGGCTGGCTGTGTACTCACTGAGACTGGTCCATGCTATACTGGGAGCACCGTGGAGTCGGGCGATTCAAGGTCAAGCTGAAGCCATGGCCACCAATAACGGGAATTGTTGAGTCCCAAGCCCTTGGTGGGAGGAGGCAGCACAGTGTGGAGTAGAGTGAAGAGGAAAAACAGCATTGATTCCTGGTGAGTGCTGGGATTGGGTCCCATGGCTGCTGTTGCTGGCTGGAGGACATCTTGGAGTTGGGCAGAGTCTGGTACCATGGCGGTGTCAGTCTGCCACCCCTGGTGCAGAGAGAATAGGTGGGCTCCACTGGGGCTGAGCTACGCCTCTGGTTGGGACCCAATAGCCAAGGACAAAAAGGTCACAACTCTGTGATGTCCACAAGGTATAACCTCAGTTGCTGAAGGAAATTGCAGGTCAGCTGGCTCAGAGGCTTGAGGCTAGCCTGCACCATCCCTGCACCATTGCCTGTACCTCAGATAACAGCAAATTGGGGAGGGCAGCAAAACCCCAGTCAGCATACTTTGGAAAGACCCTAAGCAATATGGAGAGGGCCGGAGACCCCCAGGACACACCTGTCTGAAAGAAACCAGAAACATGACAAGAGCTAGAAATAAAAAAAAAACCTCCAACCACTGACCCTAAGAAAATAATCCCAGGAGAGGTAAATACAAAAGAGAACCAGTGCAGTAATCATGCAATATTAGACACAGCATCAGCAAACATAAAGAAATACTTTCATGACCTAATAGACGAATTTAAAACTGTACTTCTAATCCAAGTGATGTAAGATATAAAAAGATTAATTAAAGAAATGATAATCCCCTCCCAAGAGAACACAGATGGAAGAATGGAGGAACTCAGTAAGGAAGAGAAACCTTTGATGAAGAATATAAACAAAATCTAGAATACATGAAACAGATCCAAAGAGATTACCAGGAAACTAAAAACTCCACTGAAAGCTGGCAAAATGCCTTGACCAAAACTAAAGTTAGCCTTTCGAAACTTGAAGAGAGATTTATGATGTGTGATTATGAAAGAAACGATCTCTTTAAAAAAAAAAAAAAAAAAAAAAAAAAAAAAACAGGAGCCAGGAAGAAACAATTGAAAGGCTAGAAGACAACAAGAGGATTTATAACTTAAGAATAAAAAATGTGAACAAAGAAGCAGGAGTAACCACAAATGAACTACAAAGACTATTCACAGATATAATTAAGGAAAACTTCCGAAGCATAGGAAAAAGAAATGATATCCAGATAAATGAGGCATACAGAACTTCAGCCACCTGCAACCAAAACAGATCTACACCCAGACATATAATAATCAATATTCCAGAAATCTACCACAAGAACAGAATATTAAAAGTGGCCAGAGAAAAGAAGCAGATCACCTACAAAGGACAAATCATCAAAATAACAACGGACTTATCAACACAAACTCTTAAATCGAGAAGAGCCTGGGGGAAAATAGTCCAAGCCCTGAAAGAAAATAACCTCCAAGCAAGACTGATGTACCCGGAAAACTCTCAAATTAATGGAGAAACAAGATATTTCCAAGACAAGGAGGAACTGTGGGAATTCATGGCCACCAACCCAACCCTACAAAAAATACTGAAGGACATTCCAGAGAGAGGAAAAAATACCAAGATTCCAGCAACAGTGGCAGCGAGACCTCAATGAACGGGGCAGACAGTGGAATGAAGGATTAAAGTGGACAAATAATAGAAGAAGAATAGAATAGCAGAGATGAGGCAGAGATGGTAAGCTATAATCTTTAATATAGATAGCCTTGATACACTGAAAAAAGAAAAAAGAAACACAGGTAGAGTAGATTAGGAGGCAGGATCCATCGAGATGCTCTGAATAGGAAATACATTCAACCTGAAAGATGGTTAATAAACTGAGAGTCAAAGATGAGAACACAATGCTATCTGTGACCGGCAACCAGAGAGAAATAGGGACAACTCATCCAGCAGCCGCAGATAGGTTGGAAAGTTATGACACTTTTGTGCAGTGTAGAACTTCACAGCTGGAAGGAAGGAAAACCTTTGTGGCTTTAGTAAGTAAAGGAGTACAGCTCAAGATTAAGCTCAGGGGTAAAAAGGTTCAGCAACACTCAGATAGATAACAGGTTGACCCCTGGTCTAAAAACTATAGGAGCTGGTGGGACCCATAATATACAAAGCATCCTGAGAAGGGAAAAGGTGAGGAATTGCCTAAAAAAGGAAGGCAGAGGACATTGTTAAAAGTGTATTAGAATTTAAAAGCCACAGTAGTCTTATCACTCTGTTTAGTTTGATTATATTTTGTTCCGGTCTGTCTACTCATATGAGATTTGAGGGCAGACAGTTAATCCAAAAATAACAGGTTATACTATGGTTACTATCCTTAATTTACTATTAACTTAAACTGAAACTCTGTATTACACACATTGTCTTACTATGACTGATCTTATTTGAAGCTGGTTTGTTAGACTGCTATTTTGCCTTGACTGATTTTATTTGAATTTGGTATGCTTGATAGTATCAAGTCTAAGAGTAGAGGCAACTACTCTGAAGATGACAAGATGTAAAAGATATCCATTCCAGATTTGATTGTTAACTGCTTTCAAGTCCTACAATGTCTTCAAAGTTGTGTTTTTATAAAAATAGCTACGTAATGTTATGCTTAACTATATAATGCCTGATGATGTGGATAATTCGATTGAAAATAACAAGAGAAATCATAGTAACGACTGTAGATTACCTAATATTGTGGTCTTATATGTCTTTTTCATTTCATATTTTTCTAGGAATTTTTTTTGTCTTGTTTTGATCTGTTTTTTCCCTAAAATACAGAAAGGATAGATATACATGTAGAGATTCAAACATGGGAAGAATTTCTAAACTATTTATGGGAACCGATTATTTAAAACACAATGTAATGAACAGATACTCTGAAGAAGAGACACTAAGAAACCCATTGCTAATTCTTTAGCATTATGATATAAAATCTAGCAATACTGTTATTCACTGTTCAGAGTGATATTGGTCCAGTCTCTTATGTTCCATTTAAGCATACATAAAGATAAAGACAGCTACTTCGAAGAGACTGAGAGACATTATGGTAGTTATTATTGACTTCCCCAAAATCAGGTCTTGAAGATCTAAAAAGCCTTCATCATCCTGTAATGGTTTGATTAGTTCTGTAATGTTCAGTATATATTCAATGTGTGTGAAGATGGGAACAACTATTTGGAAGAAAACTAGAGATAATAAGATAAAACAGTGAAGATCTCCAGTGGACTTGTTTTGAAATCTGTGTTCCTTTAAATTGTTTCCTTATGAACTACTCTATTCTGTTTTGACATGCTTAATCTTACTTCTTTAAGACAAAAAACAAGGGTGTAGGAATAATAATCATATTATTAAGTTTTTGTTGGATCATTGAGCAGAATTGTTTGCAGTGTCATTATTTGGGTATCACTTTGTACGCTTTAATTTTGTAACTTGAACAACTATTTCAAAGATGACAATATGTAACTTATCAACTAGTGATCTCTGTTTATTTTTCTGAAATTCTGTATTATTTCTACCTTTTTTCTGTTTTCTTTTTCTCTTTAAATAAAAAAAAAGAAAATGAGGGAGAAACTAAAATATTTCTAGATAAAAAACCAAGAACACTCACCAGTGTTATACCCACCTTTAAGATAATCTGAAAAATCTATACTTCAGGTTGAAATAAAGGAACCCTTGGTAGTAGCTTGAAACCCCATTGAGGCATAAAGTGCATGAGTAAAGGTAAATACAGAAGCAAATATAAAATACAGTAATTCGTCTTTTGTATAATTCAATTTCTGCAGTTAAAGTAGATTAACTGCACTTTTTACTTTTTGTGTTACCTAAAAAACAAATACATAAGAATATAAATATATATTATCAGAGGCTGAGGCAGGAGGATGGCAAGCTCAAACCCAGCTTGAAAGACTTAATGAGACTCTGTCTCAAAGCCAGAATTAAAAAATGCTGTGGATCCAGCTCAGTGTCAAGGCCCTCGGTTCAATCCCTGTTACCAAACACACACACACACAGGGCCAAAAATATAAGAAAAAGGTAATAGTAAGTTCTTCCTCATCAGTAAGTCCATGTGAGTAGATTAAACAACTCTCCAGCAAAAATATAGAAATTTTCAAAATGGACAAAAAAATCGTGATTCCACTGTATGATGACTGTAGGAGACCCACTTAGATATAAGGATATAAGTGGATTAAAATGGAGGGATAGAAAAAGGCAGCCCTTATGTACAGTAAGAAAAAGAGATGAAGTGATCATGTTAATATCAGACAAAATAGAATTTTGCAAGACACAAGGAAACTATATATTAATAAAAGTCAATTCATTAAGATGTAATAATTATATATAATATATATTATGCAATATGATATATACAGTGTCCTTGTGTCTTACAAAATCCTGTTTTGTCTGTTTCACATGTTTGAGGATTCAGAAGTCTGATAGAACTTTCTATCTCTATCTATATCTACATATCATAATCATTTCATATGTTTTGAGGAGTCAGTTACACACATACATCAAAGCCCTCAAAACATGTGAGAAAGCAATTAAATAGAGAAACAGATATTCTACAGTGATAGCTGAATAATGAGTAGAACAAACCAGACCTTAAAAATCAATAAGAAAAAAGAAGAAATGAACAACAAAGTAAAACAATTAGGTCTGAGAGACACACTCAGAGAAAAATGCATCCAGCCACTGAACAATTACACATTGTCCTCAAGTGAGAGGGAAAAATCCCCAGGACAGATAATAACCTTGTGCCACAAAGACAAGCTCTAGCAAACCTAAAATTAAAGTCATACAACATCTTTTCTAACCACAATGGAGTGAAGTTAGAAATTGTTCATGTTTTTGTCTTTGGAAAAACTCCAAATGCCTGTCTTCTAATGCAGAGCGCTTGCTATCCACACAGTTTTGAAGCTTCCTGGCTTCCGGAGACAGCCAGTTGCCATGCACTACACAAAGCAGCTTGGAGACTGTGAATCACCTGTTGTCTTAGTTACTTTTTACTGGTTGCTGAGACAAAATACCTGAAGCCCAAGGCTGGGAAAGGAAAGGTTTATTTCTTACAGTTTTTGGAGGTTTCAGTCCACACTCAGTCAGCTCCCAGGCAGGCGTGCATGGCTGGGCCTCAGTTCATGGCAGCCACAAACAGAAACTTCAAACCAGTAAAGAGAAAGACACATCTTCTTCCTGCCATTACATCACATCCTGGCTCCACCCCTATGTGGGTGGAGCACTGACACCATCAATCCAAGCACTATACAATGAACCATGACAAACTCATGAGGCCTGGGGGACACAAACATAAACCATGACACCTGTTTCAATGAACCTGTAATTTAAATGAATCTCATGATTTTTTCTTTTAAGCGTAGCTGCTGCTTTTTGCTGGCGGTTAGAATCTTCCACTGTGTTGGCATCTGGCCTTTCCCTATTTTCTACGAAGTCCTATAATGACATTTGTTTCTGCTCATTTTGGCTAGGGTTAGTTTGGGGGTTTCTAAAACTGCGACTGGAATAACGTGCAGTTCCTTACGCTTTGGTGTCCTAAGCTTCCTTAGAGCTGACCGCCCTCCTAAGTGAGCCTTGGGCAGGACTCCTTTCAGAGGCTGAGCTGGCACCCTCGTTTTCTATCCCTGGGGAGATGGGAAACATAACTGGTGGCTCAAAGGCTTCTTCACAGACATGCTGTATGACTATCTAGGGCAGCCCATGCTTTGATGCTAAAACAAGACAAACAAAAACACTTCCTGGAGATAGTTTTCCAGGAGATTAGGTCAAAGGTCAAATCCCCACTTCCTAAGACTAATGCTGTGTTATTTAGTCTGATACTCCTGGCTCAATGAGGCTCAATGTTACTGACAAGGTAAAATATGGCTCATAAAATTTGAATTTTAGACAAAAAATGAGTATTATTTTAGTATAAGTATGTTTCAAACACAGCATTGAATAGAATCTTAGGAAAAGTTTGCTATTTTTATGAAATTAGAATTTGACTGTGTCTTATATTTTTATTCATTAAATCTGACAACTCCAGTGAGCAGAAACAAGAGGTGAGCCAGATCTCCTACAGCGCGGGCCTCTAGGAGAAGTCCAGTTGTTTGGCCCTGAGGATAGACAAGGTAATGTATCTGCAGGTTTACTGCAGACTTAAAGCAGAGCTGACAAGAGACCAAAGTCAGCTCCAAGGTCTCTAGCTTCAGAAGACAATTCAAAGCGGGATGCGTTTAAAGCAAAAATGCCAAATTCACAAAGAAAGCCGTAGAACCAGAGTAGACATGGTCCCTCCACACAGTCTGTTACCACGAGTCAGTTTGGACATTTTAGGTTCGACCACAACTGCTCCTTCTGTATGCTGGGAGCACACCATGTATCACATGTTTCAGAGAAACTGAACTAATAATCTTCATGAAGTATCTTTTATATATTAAGTTCTTAACCAAATATACTTTCCCTCATTTTTTAATGAGCTATCCTTTTTGTAATAAATGTATCTAATTTTAAGACACCAGCAGGAGAAGAAATGAAGTGGTAAAAAAAGAGCTGATTTTGAATTTTAAGGAAATAAAATATTTGTTATATCCACCATGCCTGTCCCAAATCCTTACAGTCTCTATTGTCATGAAAAAAAAAAAACACTCATAAGCATAGAAAAAACAGTGTCCATATGGTAAAAATGTCACCAACCTCCCCACAAAGCTGTGTTTCTGAGACACCAACCATTTAATATTGTTTACGCTGCGGCTTTTGTTCCCAAGAAGACGTCTTTTCTAGAAGCTTGTATGTTCTTCATTACATCTTTGACCACAACAGGAAAGATCGCAAAAAGCATTCGAGCTAATACATTCCTCTTGCTAATGTACCAAAATATTACACTGTTTTCCCTTAGTGCTCTCAATTTACAGCTAGCAGACAGATGCTTCTTCTCCAAGGCCTTCATAAATCTTCCCATATGAGATGAAAATGAAGGATTTATTCTTGCCCATCTTTTAATTTTACACAAGCCTCAATGAGTTATTCTTACAGCTGGCATTTCAAATGTATTGGTAGAATTTATCACTCAAAGGTTTATGCAAGGACAGAATTACACTAATGAATTGACTATGAATTTGAAACCTAACATGAAGCCAAATATTTTCTGGCTTCATTTCTGTATCTCAGCAAATGGCTTAATTTCCTCCCTACTTATCCATTACTGCTAAATTGTCTTGCTATTATTGTAGTAATGGCAGCACACCCTGGCCTGCCCTAAGGCTTAGGCTGACTAGAGCGAGCGGGCTGAGAACATTCACCGCACGAGAAAGGTAAAAGCCTGCCTTCTGCTCTTTTCTGCTGAGCTAGGGAAGGCAGGAGATGGCCATAGTCTAACAGCGCTTTTTCAATACCTTTTCATAGGCATGAGCTGTTCCTAACTGCTGGCATTTCCAGTGTATTAATGGAATTTATCATTGAAAAGCTTATGGGAAGTTTAAATTACACTAATGAACTGTTCTGCATTTGAACTAGAACATGAGGCCAAATATGTTCTGGCTTAGGGTTTTTTTCCTTCATATCACTGCAAAGTGCTTAATTTTCTTCCTGCTTACCCATTATCGCTAAATTGTCTTGCTATTATGGCAGTGCCTGTTAGCAGTGTTGCAGTTAAGATTCCGTGCGTGTTTTCATTCTGAGTGCCTCTTTTCTGAGATTCAGACTACTTTGGAAGTACGGAAATCTCACAAAGCTCTCAGACATGGCTGGAGTTGGTCCAGACTTGGACTTTTGTGCGAATTAAAAATCTTATCTGTCAAGAGGGAGAAGTCAGGTATCTGCCCAAGCAGCTGACTTTTTGTCCATGTTTGTGTTTGTTTAGCTGGCAAGGCTAGAGATGGAACCCTGGATCCCACTCTTGCTAGGCAAGTTCTCAATGACAAAGCCGCACCCCCAGTCTGAGCTTTAGTTTAACTATTTTATTGATGTATATTTATCATCTTAAAACTTTCTTTCTCATGTTCACTGCTGTTTTATATTTTGGTAAAGACTCTGGGACCTCACATACACTGTGATTTTATTCTCTGATTACCAGCCACTGAACAAGATTTAATTACTAAAAAGGGCAGGACGAAGGGTTTTTTTTTTTTTAATGTTTCATCTGTGAAATACAAATGAGCTAGTGAAACTTACAGTATCAGGCATTCTGTACTTCTGTGGGAAACTCAACTCCTGATGGAAATACCAAGAGACTGACTCAAATAACAACCAGACCATCCCTTAAATTCTACCATATGCATGGAGAAAAGATGAAAGCCTTGCAATTCAGGATTACATTTAGGAAGAAGGAGCAAAGGGGAAAACAAAAACAAATCTTTCCCTTTGCTCAAACCTCTGGAAGCAGAAGACATTGTGACTCTGTTTCTGAGGTCTTCAGTGGCTTCAACACTGCTAGAAGGTTCTAACCCTAAAGCTCCTTTCTCTATTTTGAACACAGTGCCAGCTCCTACTTTTTTTGTTTTTCAAAATTTATCTATTTTTTTTAAAACAAAGATCAGATAAAGATTTTTCAGGCACAATCTTGTTAAGCTGCCACAAAACAACTTTCCCCAAACAAAAGGCTTGAGAGTAGGTGGGAGCCACAGGATCATACATTCCTTCTCTGGGAGTCTCTCCTGGCTGCCAAGATTCAGCTCTAGGAGATTTTCATTTAAGGGGGTGATTTGACACTGTTCCTAACCATTCTCATCAAACACAACCTTCTTGAGCTTTTAGCTACAGGCAACAAGACACCTCATGCTCATCTCTCTCCTGCCGGTTTCCCAGGGTTACCTTTCTGCTCATGCACCCTCTCACCAAAACCCAAAAGGCAAGCCACCATCTATTCTTACCACTTATCCTGAGTGTTAAAAGCTGTTAAGGAGGAATAAGAAAACCAGTTATTTGATGGCACACAGAGGCTTTCCTCACAAAGTGGGAGGAGTCACACCCACTGAAAAGGAAGGGGGATGGGAAATAAGCATCCCTGGCACTGGGATCACCCCTCCCTTCCTCCATATGCTGAATTTCCAAGCCCATTTCTCTAAACACTCCCCAAGTCGCTGAAAACTATTCCATTATTCCCTGGTGATCAGTCACTGAGCACAATTTAGTTACCCAACCCAACCTAATTCACTTTTTTTTTTTTTTCCTGGTAACCTTGCCTTTCAGAATAACCTCCCAGCTCCAGGAGATCCTGTAGGCCCAGCAAAGAGCAGGCTAAAGCTTTTAAATGCTCAGAATCAGATGCTGCCTCAGCTTCACTTCCATGGAGCAGTCTCACCTGTGGTGAGGACCACGTGAGGTCCTGCCATAGGCTTTTCTTTCACAGCTCTCGTTTGGCCTTCATGTTTTCTAACCTAAGAAGGAAACCTTTCCACCATTGAGCAAAATCACATGGGTGGCACACTGTGCCAATCTGAGGTTTAGGATGGCTTCCCTTTCACGTGAACCAAATGCACAGAGCAGTCAGGCACACGGAGTGTCCCAGCACTCGAGATTTCCCAGAGGGGCTGATTGAGCAGAGGCATCTGCCTAAGACTTAGCAAAGGAAAGCTCAATTGCCTCCTTTAAGAAATTCTAAATGCATTTTAAAATTGTAACAACTTGTGCATCTACTTGCTCTCGGAAGTATTCCCCAGGTAGGATGCCATATTCTTTGGACCCATTTTGTTCTCACCATTTGATGCTATGCCATTGCTGAATCCCCCCCCCCCGCACTTGCATCCCACTGGGGAGGGAACAGAACAGAAACTCTCTACTCTGAGTCTACGTCTTTTCAATTTTTAGCATTTTTTCTTCAAATTTTGAGACAGGGCTTCATTAAGTTGTGCAAGCAGGACTTGAACTTACAATCCACCTGCCTCAGCCTCCCCCATTACTGGGATTACAAGAATGAGCCACCATATGCAGTGATGCTACCTGTAATTCTAATCTGTGTGTCATTTTGAATAAATTCCAAAGCTATCTGAGGCAGATTAAAAACTAGAGGATCAGAAGTGTTATATTTATATTTTAATGTCTGTTTTCAGAGAGGTCAAGGCAAGTCTACTCTGATTTTGAAGCTATATCAGGGAAGGAAGCACCAGTTATCTGTCTGTCATATCCCACTTCAGAGCATGAAATAGCATGCTCTGACTTCACTGGCAGTTATGCCAAGGCAGACATGGTACTGTTTCCTGCTGATGTAATT